GTGATTCACACTTAAGAAAAAGGCTGGCTCTTGCCAGGATTCCTCATAAGAGTGACATTGTTTTTAGATCCTAAGTGACAATTCTGATGCGCTGCATTGATGCTTGGGGAAGACAAGGTGACCTGGAAGTCCAACTACTTTTTTCAGGTCATCTAACTTTGGGATTTGCTCAAAATACTTCATTGTGAGTGCAGACAATGTAGACTCCACATAGATGCAGCAGACTGGCCTGGGCCCCATGGGAGGCCATGCTACTGATGGACAAGAACAACATAATGCCTAAGGTCAACCGAGGGCATTTGGAAAACAACCCAGCTCTGAAGAAACTGTTGCCTCATATCCGGGAGAATGTGGGCTTTGTGTTCACCAAAGAGGAACTCACTGAGAATGGGGACATGTTATCCCACGTGAAGTTACTGTGCCGGCACGGAACACTGGTCTGGGGCCCAAGAAGACCTTTTTCCAGGCTTTAGATATCACCACTAAAATCTCTAGTGGCACCATTGACATTCTTTTTTTTTTTAAAGATCTATTTATTTATTTATTTATACAAGCACTGGGTACACTCAGAAGCACGGGAGGGTGAGAGAATTCACCAGAGCCAGGGGGGAGAGCAGAGCAGGCAGACTGACGAAATACACTGCTGAGGGGAGCAGCGGGCGGCAGGAAGAGGTCTGTGTGCCATGTGGGACCCTCGTCCGGTGGCCAGCCGGGGATCGAACCGGCACTGCAGAGGCTGCAGGCAGCTTTGCAGCCCAGCGCTCAACCGCTGTGCCACCGGGGAGGCCCACCATTGACATTCTAAGTGATGTGCAGGTGAATGAGACTGGAGACCAAGAAGGAGACAGCAAAACCACCATGCTGAGCATCTCTTCTTTCTCCTGCAGACTGATCATCCAGTAGGTGTTGACAATGGCAACCCTGAAGTGCTTGAAATCACAGAGAAGCTCTGCATTCTTGCTTCCTGGAGAGTATCCATAATGTTGCCTGCCTCTAACTTCAGGCTGTAGTGTCAATGTTCTTTTCTATCACCAGTGAGAACCAAGGGTCCTGAGTTTGCCTGTGGAGAAGGAGTAAATCTTCCCACTTACTGAACAGGTCAAGGCCTTCGTGGCTGATTCTTCTGTTTGTGGCTGCTGCTCCCACTACTGTTACAGCTCTGGCCAAGGTTGAAATAATGGAGGAGTCAAAGGAATACATGAGATTCTGATACTGGAACACCTCGCTGCTGGGAGCCGCCTCAGTGGCAGGAGCTGGCAGTGGTGGTCTCTCCCTCAGCCATTCCACCACAGGCCAGCTTGGGCTGTGGCTCCTTGGAGCTCAGCAACCTCCCTTTTATACGTAGTGCTGGGATTATAGACTGGAGCAATCAGGTGCAAGCTATGAGCTGATTGGTGCTTAACGTTTCAATTAGACATGCAGGAGAATATAAGGTTGGGCCTGAGGGATCTAGGAGGACACTGTTCCAACCTCTAAAGAAAGAAAGAGATACTGTTCCAGTCTCCAAAGAAAGAGGGGGAAGGCTTTTCCTGGCCTCTGAAGAAAGAAGGAGAAGCAGCCAACTTTGAAAGAAGAAAGAAGGAGCATCCAGCAGCTGACCTCTGAGGAAGGAAGAGAAGCCGAAGACCTTTGTCAGAGACAGGGCCTCTGGTCCTGTCTCTGACAGCTCCTGATAGGAGAACCAAAAGCCCCAGGCCTGGTGTCTCAAAGAACTGTTTGTTGTTAATGCCATCCAACAACTCACATAGGGTTGTGAATACTTGTCTCTGACACTGCCTCTGGGGGACCAGTAGTGACTGTCACTACTGGTCAGTGCTGTCCATCTCTCTCTTTTTTTTAAAGATTTATTTATTTATTTGTTTGTTTATTTATTTATTTATACAAACACTGGGTATAGTCAGAAGTGCGAGAGGGTGAGAGAATTCACCAGAGCCAGAGCGGGGAGCAGAGCAGGCAGAAGGACCGAAGCACACTGCTGAGGGGAGCAGCGGGCGGCAGGAGAGGTCTATGCTCCATGTGGGACCCTCCTCCGGTGGCCTGGGAGCAGCTGGGGATCAAATTGGTGCTGCAAAGGCTGCGGGCAGCTTCGCAACCCAGCGCTCAACCGCTGCGCCACCGGGGAGGCCTGCTGTCCATCTCTTTTGACAGGTGACTGGCACTCTGCTTATATTGTACTTCTGATGGACACTATGTGGGATGAGGTAGCAGCGACTTGTGGCTACAGTAGGCTTTTTTTCCCCTGTTTGTAAAATAAACCCCATGTTTGTTGTTCCTTGAGTCTGAGGTATCTTGCAATTGTGCATATGGGTGAGAACCCCAGACAGTGACCTGTCTACTTGACACTGTCCTTTGGTCGGTGTAGCACCCTGTTGTGTAGGTATTGCCATAGCCCTTGATTTGGCTTTTAGCCTTTTGGGCCTTTGGCTGTGCTTTTGTTTGGGCAGTGCCGCCCTGTTTCAATTTGGTCTTTTTGATTAATCACCAAAAAGCAACTTTATCTGTGAAAGCAGAAAACAAAGGCTTATTTCTCTTAAAAGAGTGAGATTGGGAGGTTTTTTGTTTTGTTTTAAGGCAAGGGGCCTGTAATCTACTCACCTAAGAGTACATCATTATGTCACAAGTTAAAAAGAGACGGACCAGAACATAGTTTGCTTTTACCCTACTGGAAATTGTTATCTGATTTGTCAAAAGACCATTTCTTCCAATAAACAGGTTTTTCACAAATGAAATTAAACAGCCATTAGCACTGAAGAAAAAATTGTCCAACCTCACTAGTAATCACAGAGATGCAAATTAAATCGATGATATGTAATTTTTATCTATCAAATGGACAGTTTTGCTGAGGGCAATAACTTGATGATTCATCACTCTAGTTTTTCCTTACCTCACTTTTCCCATCATAGGAAATTAAACAACTCAAAGGTTAGGGTATGAATCATCACAAAGAATTTCATGATCACTAACGAAAGCAATTTTGTTGGAATTTCTGAACTGTAAAAGGAGAGGCAATTTTTTCTCTAATCCCAAAACTAAAACATTTAGAAAATTTTGCTCTCCAAAGATGCTTGGGAATCAATATTATTGAGAGAGAGAAAAGCAAAAGAACTGGCTTTCTTCCAAATCTAAGTCTTCTCAGATGCCAGTTATTTCTGATTGGAAGTCTACCAAAGATTGTTCAGGACCTATTCACCTCATCAGAGCTAAATGCTTGGGCTCTGATCATGCCTTAACAAATGATTTCGCTTTTACTACTTTTTCTATCAAGCACAATTTCATTAGAAATAGGCAACCTACATTCTTTAATAATGCATTCATGGAGTTACAGCAAAAGAGTACCCATTTATTTTTATTAATAACATCGATACCTGGTGTATTATAAAAGAGAAGTTATTATGGTCCTTCCTAGATTTAAATGTATTGAACTGTATTCCCCAACATCTTGAAAGATTTTAAAAGGGAAAAGAAAAAAGTTTCTTTTTCTAAACCACTTCCTTCAGATCTCTTTAAATAATGGTGTCTGGCCAGTAGTTCTATGAAGTCTGGTGTGGTCATCTGTCCTTTCAGCCTCATCCTCCAAAGTGTCCAGGAACAGTCAATAGGGAAGACTGCAGTGGCCCATAGCTACACTTTCACGTGACCGTCATGTAGGTCACGTCAACAGACATGTGCACACCACTTCCTCTTTTTCACAGGGCCACCACTGCCAGCTTTTCACTCTTCAACTGCATGCCCCATACACACACGCACACACACACACAGCTTTTAGAGCTAGAAGAGATGTTTAAAATTATCTAATCCAGTAAAGCCCAGAGTGTAATAAGATATAATGGCCATGTAGCTCTAAGTTGGTAGAAAGAGGAGCTTTCTAGACTCCACTACCCCATGTCAACTTGATGGTAGAAGATAAAGAATTTTTCATACTCCACACCTATTTCATGGGAAATAGGCATGGAACAGGGGATTTGGTAGTAAGCTGCTGGGGCATGGGCAGTTAAACCACTGGTAAGAAGTGGTGTCCTCAGGAGAGCCATCGCCAAGTTTGCCACAGGCCCTTTCAGCTTGGACCTCAGTTTCTGGTCAGCAGAGGGCATCTGGAGCAGGACAGACAGCACCTGGCCACTGCAAGCTTCTAAATGCTCCTGCTCTCTCTTCCATATTATCCAGCAATTCCACTCCTAGGTATTTACCCAAAGGACACAGAAACATCAATTCCAAAGGGCCCCTGCACCCCTATGTTTATAGCAGCACTATTTACAATAGCTAAGCTGTGGAAACAACCCAAATGCCCAAAAATAGATGACTGGATCAAGAAGATGTGGTACATATACACCATGGAATATTACTCAGCAATCAAAAAAGATAAACACATGCAATTTGCAGCAACATGGATGGAGCTGGAAGGGATCATGCTCAGCGAAATAAGCCAGAAAGAAAAAGAAAAATACCGGATGGTCTCACTCATAGCAGGAATCTAGAAAACCTAAATAAGGGACCAGGAAAAAGAATAATTATAAGAAAGAAAAAATCAAAATCAACAAACAATTATAAACCAGAGACACACTATGGGGGGTGGGGTGGGGAAAGGAGGGATTGGGGTCTAAATAAGGGGGGTGCAATTGTATGGGGAATAAAAAAATAAAATAAAACTAACTAACTAAATAAATGCTCCTGCTCTCATGCTCTTTCTCAGGTTTCCCTTTTCTCATTTCCTGTGTAAACAATCCTGTTGTTGCTTCTTCCCATAGGTCTGCTTTGGGCTCATGTCCTATATTAACTGTCACGGCACCCAGCCACCTCAGCAGTGGGAGCCGGCAGGACAGTGGTGTCCTCTCCCTCTGCTGCTCCCCCACAAGTCGGTTGTGGCAGTTGCTCCTCAGAGCCCTTTTATGTAACAATGTACTTCCTGGATCGTCGAATGGGCCAATCAGGTGTAAACTATGAGCTGATTGGTGCTAAATGGTCCAATCAGACTTGTGGGCAAAAGAAGATATAAGCCAGGGTTGGAGGGAGCTAGAGGCCCCAGAAGGAAAGGAGATGAAGCCCCAGCCCTGAGAGATGAGGACGGGAGGTCCCCGAAGAAGAGACGACGCCAGCCCCTGAAGGAAGAAGAAAGAAGGGGAAGACAGTTCCAGCCTCCGAAGAAAGAGGAAAAGATGCATCCAGCAGCCGCCCTCTGAGGAGGGAGAGAAGCCGAGGGACTCTGTCATGGACTGGGCCTCGGGCCTGCCTCTGACGTTGCCTGACAGGAGCACCAAAGGCCCTGGGCCTGGTGCCTCAAAGAGCTGTTTGTTGTTGGGATGACCCAGAAACTCACAGAGAGCTGTTAACTCTGGGTGTCTCTATCACCGCCTCTGCAGGACCAGCAGTGCCCATCACTACTGGCCGGTGCTGCCCTGCATTCCTGGTGACCGGTGGCAACCATCAGTGACACTATGTGGGTGAGGTAAGAGCCACTTGTGGGTACAGTGAGCTCTTTGTTTCCCGTTTGTAAAATAAACCCCGCGATTTTTCCTGGAGTCTGAGGTCTCTTGCAATTGTGCATGTGGGTGAGAACCCACAGGAAGTGACCTGTCCTCTTATCAGGCACTGTCCTTTGTTCAGCTATAGCTCAACAGGCCCCTCTAGTGTGGGTATTGTATTGCTATAGCCCTTGGTTTTGGTTTTTGGCCTTTTCGGACTTTTTGGTGGCTCTCTTGTCTCAGAGCCTGGGCAGGTTTAAGTGGCCGTTTGGATACTTCCATCCGCCCTCCTGCCCTGTGGCCTCTTTTGTGGCCCTGTCCACCTCTGTTTCATCCCACTTCATTCTCCTTCTCAGGTTTCCCTTTTCTCATTCCCTGTGTAAACAAATCCTGTTACTGTTTCTTCCCATGGGTCTACTTTTGGCTCATGTTCTACATTTATAAGTACCTGAGTGTGGACCCATCAACTTAGGCCAACCATGGGTTTACTCCATTTTTTTTAAAGATTTATTTATGCATACCAGAGCTGGGCTATAGGCCAGAGGTATGGGGGGTGAGAGGATTCACCAGAGACAGTGGGGAGCAGAACAGGCAGAGTGACTGAAGTACACTGCTGAGGGGAGCAGTGGGCGAGACAGGAAAGGTCTGCTGTGCCATGTGGGTAGCTCCCTGGCCAGCCAGGGATAGAAATCATGCTGCAGAGGTTGTGCACAGCTTCATAGGTTGCGTTTTAACCCCTCGTGCCACCAGGGAGGCCCAGGTTTGCTCTATTTTATAACTAGAAAGAGAATATAAGAATCATTGATAAAGAGAACATAAAAAGCCATGAGTTGCTAGGGATGAGGGGAGAATTTTGGAAAAAGCTGGTCATGTTTTGTGAATTTCTTCTCCCCTCCCCAAGGATCCCTGTCCTTCATCTCAAGTCCAGGGAAAGAGTTTCAGCAGAAGCACCCACAGAGTTCGAGAAGCACACCCTGTAGTTGGGGGCTTTGTTTAACGCACCTGAGAAATGTGAGGTAGTTCTAATGAGGTAGTTCCTTGCAGTTCTAATGAGCAAAGGAGAGGTTGCTGATGTGTTGGGATTAATCTGCATCTCTCTAGATAATTGGGGCAAAGGATGAAGTGTTTTCTGTGGACCAGAAGAAAATCAAGCCCATGAGAGAGTCAACACATAACTATCTTAGATTCCATCCAAGAGGATTCTGGATGAGCACCACAAGAGGATTCTGGATGCCCGTGGACTGCAGAGGGAGTAGCAAACAACCAGAGGCCTACACATGCATCCACCCCTCACAAGGGACTTGTACACAGAGCTTCCTAGTGGTGTAGGATTTATGAAGAGCCCACAGAATCTACAAAAGTGCCCAGGATAGAGAGCTGGTCTAGAACTACCACCTTTTAGTAAACCACCAAAATGACCACCACAGAGAGAAAGAGGACAGGCACCTGCTGTATGTTCTCCAGCCCTTTCAGAAAACATGGAGTCATGGGCCTCCCCCGTGGCGCAGCGGTTGAGCACTGGGTTGCGAAGTTGCCCGCAGCCTCTGCAGCGCCAGTTTGATCCCCGGCCGCCGGGAGAGGGTCCCACATGGCGCGCAGACCTCTCCTGCTGCCCACTGCTCCCCTCAGCAATGTACTTCGTCACTCTCTGCTCTGGCTCTGGTGAATTCTCTTACCCTCCCACGCCTCTGACTGTACCCAGTGCTTAAATAAATAAATCTTTAAAAAAAAAAAGAAAACATGGAGTCATTTCTTGATCACATACATGTGAATCTACAAGGAAGTTGATATTGTTGACATCAAGGAGTGGGCACTGGTTGAAAAGGGATGCCCCACCCATGTTACCATGGCAAAACTGGAAGAGTCTATAATGTTACCCAACATGCAGTTGGCATTGTTGTAAACAGACAGGTAAAGGGCAACAATCTTGCTGAGAGTATTAATGCTCATATTGAGCATATGAAGTACTCTAAGAGCAGAGAGAGCTTCCTGAAACGTGTGAAGGAAAATGATCAGGAAAAAAAGGAAGCCAAAGAGAAAAGTACTTGGGATCAGCTTAAGCGCCAGCCTGCCCTGCCCAGGGATACACACTTTATGAGAACCCATGGGAAAGAGCCTGAGCTGCTGGAACCTGTTCCCTGTGAAGTCATGGCATGATAGGTGTGGGAAAAATAAGACTTCTGGACTATAAAGAGAAAAAGCTGGTTTAAGACCTCAGGCATGATGGGCATGGGCATGATGAGACCAAGGGCATGATGCCTCATCACCACATCCATTGCCAGTTAGCTGTGAATTTTTCTGCCTCCCTTTCCTCTTCCTTTTCCCTGCATTCAGACGCTAGAATAGCCAAAATCCATTGTTGGCAAGATGAGGAAGAAGGAGAAACACTATGTGGGGATAGAGGCCAGAAGCTGCCTTTCACTTCTTCCCCAACTACAGAGCAGGGTTTGGGGCAGAAGCCATAACTTTGAGTTGTGGGATTATAGATTTTTATTATTGAATTGTGTATTGTATGACCTGAAGTGATAAAAAGGCCTTTTCACTACTTAAGAATGACCTGAAAAGTCTGAGCACTGACTGAGTTTTTATCTGGAGGCGAGGGAAAAATTGGTGCCTCTGAGTGAATTTAAAGGGACCCAGGAAAGCAAAAATAACTTCTCTCAGTCCTTGTATTCTTTATGTACATCACACTGTGAGGCAGCTTTTGCTACTTCTTCTACCTATAAGCTGTGCCTACAAAGGTCACCTCATCTCATTTCACACAGTCATTCAGGTAACAAGCATTGGTTGGCTTGAGCTATCAGCGTCCTGTCATTGAAGTGTAATAGGTCCCCAGTCCTTTCAAACAAATTCAGGTCACACAATCCCAGATTCCTATCCTTGAATGTCAGTTGCCTATAATCCCTTTGGGCACAGGTAAACAACAGAAACCACTCCAGCTATTTTAAGCAGAAAATGATTTTCCACATGAATGCTGGGTTAACATGAGTGCTGAGAGGGCTGGAGGAGGAGGCTCCAGGCAGGATCTCTAGGACTAGCCCAGCTACAGGAGAGCGGCCATCTCTGTTCCACTCAGGATGAGTAGAGTGAGGAAGCACATATACCACCGCCTCCAGGAACACACCTTCTGAGCTTCAGAATCAGGACGCTGCCACTGCAACTATTTGGCTCCAGAACCAAGTCATACTGGCTATTGCCACACCAGCAAAACATGTCTACTCACTCTCCACTCACTCTCCTACTCACTCTCCACTGAACTCAAATCTGAATTCATATCTTACATGCATGCACCTGATGAACAAAACTTAAGTCTTAGCTCCAATCGATCCATCGCCTGCCCTCTCTCCCTTCCTTCCTTCCTTCCTTTTTTTTTCATCGTTTGAAGACAACGCAAAAATGTCTTCAAAACTCTGATCAAAAAATTGATTTCCAACCACACTATTAAATAAATTTGAGAATAAAATAAAGACACTTTTTTTAAAAAAGATGATTTATTTATACAAGCACTGGGTACAGTCAGAAGCAGGGAGGGTGAGAGAATTCACCAGAGCCAGAGCGGGGAACAGAACAGGCAGACTGAAGAAATACACTGCTGAGGGGAGCAGCAGACGCCACAGGAGAGGTCTGCATGCCATGCTGGCAGCCGGGGATCGAACCAGCGCTGCAGAGGCTTTGCCCAGCGCTCAACAGCTGTGCCACCAGGGGAGGCCCTAAAATACACTTTTAGGTACAAAAGTTGTCCCCCAAATTCCTCGCTATTCATTCCTTTTGGGGGAAACTGTTGGAGAATGTACCCACCAGAGTACCAAAAAGTATATTAAAAAAAAGAAAGAGGTACAGTGTGGCAGATACAGTAAACTGGCTCACTAAGTAACTATGCTAACATACATCCAGTGTGTGTCTCTCAGAGGCTGGAAATCTCAAAATGACATTGACCTGACTCTCTTGGAGCTTTTATTTGTGTCTATCTTTATAAAACTGTAATAACAATGTGGCTTTGTCTTTCACAATGGGTGCTTTCATTATGAATACACTTACTTTTCAGTTGTAGGATTTTGTTTGTTTTTCTTTGAGAATTTTATTTTATCTTTTTTGTCCTTTTTTTTGGTCTTTTTCCAGAAAAGTCTAAAAGTGGGATGTAAGATCTTTTGGGTAAATCCTTTTTTCTTATTGCTTATTTACCATTTTCTACGCCATTGTATTTGGTGACAGTGATTTCTTCAACTTTATCTTTACATTGTTTTTTTAAAAAGATTGATTGATTGATTGAAAAACTAGGGTGTAAGCCAGAGGTGTGTGTGGGGTGTGTATGTGAGAGAATTCATCAGATACAGAGTGGGGACCAGAACAGGTGGATTTATTAAAATACACTGCCAAAGAGCAGCAGTGGGCAAGACAGAAGAGGTCTGATGTACATATGCGGGCTAGCTCCCTGGCTGGGGATCAAAGTCAGGCCGGGGCAGTAATAACGTTGAGACTAATCTCTAGGCCACCAGGGAGGCTCCTTTCAGTTGCTCTGTTGAATTAACTTTTTATGTTATCATAGTTGAATTCTAGGAAGTTTTTGTTGTTGCTCTGATTTTTTTCTTTTACACTGTTCTTGTTTCACGGATACATTATTAGATTATCTTTCTGATGATATTAACTTTACTTTTAAAGTTTTATTTTGCTTCTTGCTTAGTCTATGTTTCCTCTGAGTCACTTTATTCTCTTTGGTGGTCTGGTTTGGCTTTTGACTTTCCACACTGAAATTTCAGCTTCCTCATTTCTGCTTATTGTTACCACTTGTTCACTTTTATCTTCCAAAATTTACATGACACCTTGTCTGCTATTGTTTTCTTTTTTGTGAATCTGTTTATTATATCACTTGCTGAGATTTCGAAGTGGAACAAGGATAAACATATGTGTTCAATACACTATTTTTTTTAAAGATTTATTTATTGATTGATACAAGCACTGGGTACAGTCAGAAGTGTCGGAGGGT